TGGAAAAGACAGATCCTTGTCAACCGCATGGTCAAAGAAAAAGCGCGGGAAAAGGCTGAGCGAGAAAAGGTTTGACCGTAACGTTTTTTTTTAGGCCATTTCCCAGTTACTTTGGTGCTTCTATTTCAAAACCAGTCCTCGTGCAAAACCTTTCATATGAAAATGGTTTGATGTGCATGAAAATGAATACGTAGGCGGAACACATTTTCTTGTGAATGGTTTCGCTCGAAGAGTCGTTTTGACACGCAGAGGCAAAAGGCAACTCGGAAATGGCTAATTAAAAAATGTGCCTCCCTACAAAACAGTCGTTCCGCCATAAGATGTGTCGGCTTAACACAGGTTCGCATTACAAAAAATAGAAGAAGAAAAGCTTGGCACTTGATGGGGTGGTGTCCGCTTAAGACAGGTTTCGCTGTAGTGGAAACTCTTCAAATGCTTGCTTGCGTTACTGTAACGCATTTTATGTAACTAGTTTATGTCGTCCAAGAGCAGCCGTGACATGCGGTGAGATGGGTGGGTCGCCTAGTTTACGCATACGGCAGTATTTACTAACAAAATGAAGTACTTCAAGGGCACCGTTACCTTTAGGATTTTACTTTAATGGCGTGATTTGCATGATTTTCTTCCTTGCTTTGCAGAGAGAAATAGAACAAAGAAAGTGGATTGGGGTTCCGTTATGGAAAATTCCTTTACTCTCCAAGAGAGAAGAAGATAGGTTTGTATATTGTGGATACAAGTATTTTTGCACTGATGTCTTTGTGATTTCAATTGAGTTTACCGTAAATTTACGCTTAAGTGTTTTGCTCATAGTGTCACAATCTTTATAAATCGTCAGCTTTCTTTTTTGTCCTTTTTCGTTTATTTTGACCTCTGGAATGTAATCTATTATCGTTGTTATTTTCTTTATTTGATGGCAAAACATGAACCTATCACAAATGCAAGTTAAGCTAGCGAGCTTTACAAAACTTCTCTGTATCAACACGCCATTCATAATAGGACAGCCTGTGCCTCTGTTTCAAAACGAGTCTTCGAGCAAAACCGCTCATGAAACTGAATTTAATATGCACGAAAATAGACCTGTTTATGTAGGCAGAATACATTTTCATGTGAACGGTTTTGCACAGAGACTCGGCAAAAGGCAACTCGGGAATGGTCTATTGCATGGATTTATAAAGTGTCTTTTTTTTGGTTCCCATGTTTCGATTAGACTGAAGGAGGAGCAGCGATGGATTGGCATTCCAGAGTGGAAGAAAAACCTGCTAAGAAGAAAAGGGACCGATCAACTTTATCTGGATTATCATGCAGTCAACACTGGCCATCCGAGCATCAGGCGTACGGTGTCATGGAAACTACCAGAGATGTCTGCTGATGAAGAGTGCGATGAAGTAACGCGGCCGAGAGCAATTTCGTCACTAGAATAGAGTCTGGGACGAGAAAAGCGATTGCTGCACGGTACTTTGCAAGAGTTGTCTGAAATGAAACATTACATAGCTGTTTGAATCATAAAATAATTGATATGTTGTGGACTACTTCGTTTCGACAATCCCAACAAGTTCAACTAAATTTAATTTCTATTCCGGTGAAGAATTTTTCGTCTTTGGCGTCATCTTTTCATCCTAATGTCACACGTTATCTACAATTTCATGCTTATCCGAAGTAGAAGTATCCCATAGCTTGTTTTGGATGGAAGCATTCGTTCCACAGACGTTTGCGCCTCAAGTTCAGACATACAATAAACAAACAATGTACGATGCAAAGTAAATAAACAATAAATTGCTTGGTGGTCAACATTGGTGCATTTTTTCCTTTGTTGATGTCTGATTCTGATGACTATAATTAAAATTTTCAGTAGTTTGCAATGCGTTTGAGTTTTACAGTAGCAATTAGCATTTTCACTTTTTCAGTTCTGTTCACTTTACAGCGAGGAATATAGAACCTAAGCGGGGCATCTTTTCTTCGCGGCCTCCCTTTTACCCTGTTATTTAGTACCTGTAAATCCGGCACAGTTGAAACACGACCTCTATTGCTGCATGCATCCAAAGGTGCCGGCGGTTATCGATACGTTACGCTGCATTCAAGTTTGATCATAGCAGACCAAAACGTTCACATTTCATCGTTTTTGTTGTGTAGAATTTGCACTGAAAAGTGACATTGATCATGCGATGAATAACTAAATGGCGATCTGAGGCTAACTTAACATAATCTCGTGCAATTATTGCCTTTCTATGTTGTTTCATCGCATTTTAAGTGATTCAGTTTAAGGTCATGCAGCGAGTAAGAGAAACAAAGGCACACTAGGGAAAATTCACTACATCTTGCTGAACAATTTCTCAGCTGCAGCTCATAATTTGCTGCTCATAAAAAATATCATTCACAAATTCAAGAACTCGTAAGGATTGTATTTCTTATCTGCTGCAGAATTCTACCTCCTCCCCTCCCACCCCTCCCCACCTCCCTTTAAAAGGACAAAAATTAAAACGTGATCGATGCTCGTTCCGATAGTAAGTTGTGGTAAGCCTTGTAGCTGTGCGACCGCGCTCATTCATGCTATACCCAGAATGATTTAGAGATTCTCGGAAAAGGGGGAAATAATGATCAATAAGACAATATGCGGAAAACCTAAAATTGAATCAGTTCCAAATGGTATGTTATGAGTATTTTATTGTTAGCTATTTGATCCAAAAGACTTCGCAACTTGTATGAAGAGAAAACAGTACTGGTAGAATTTTACAACTAATCTCGTGCTCGGTGGAAACCCTTTACTCTGTCATTAGAACAGTGCATGCATTACATGTTGTTTTGTACATGAAGCTAATGTTCTCAATCTATGTATGGTCGAGGTGCTTCATACCGCTAGAGAATGAATATTATAGGACGTCTTATAGCCTACAATCTCTGTACGGCATAAAACTGAGACTGCATGAAACTTGTGCTTGCCGTATTGAGACAACTGACTTGAAAGTTTTAAATTGAATGCTCAACCGAAAGAGAAACCGGAACAACATGAACCAGACAAATATTGCCTTCTCTGATGTTTTATTGACCAATATAGCGCTAAAGAGAACATTTCTTTCATTTCAATAGACGGAGAAAACGAAAAATTAGTCGGGAGGGAAAAAGTTTGAGAACCTTTTTCTTCAGCATTGGCTGACGCACGTTTTTGCGGCCTAACGACGCTCAAGAAGCCACAAAACCAACTTTTGGACTCTCAGAGGTAAGCATAGTATAATGAATGTCATATTACAGAGAAAACCTAGTAATCTTAAGCCTGGAAAGCGTGTGCAGTCACTAAAATATGACAATGAATACGGCAAAACTTCATGTAACGGGATCGGCAACAAAATTCCTTTCATGTATTTATCTGTGACATTATTTTGCTTGCTGTCTGAGGTGCTTGCTGCATTGCCTACTCTCTTGAGAGCCTTGCTTTTACACCGTGAGCAAGGAATTAAATTGATGGAGTTTTATTGTTCGTGATAGCTAGTGTAGGCTGACCTTCACAATCAAGACGAGGAGCGAAAGCTTCTATGCACGAGAAGCCCGCTCACGCTAACAACACTACCGAACCTGAATCATCAAATTAAGGGCTACCTTCCAAACGGAACTATGGCTTTACAAAAAATGCTTCAGCCTTGATCATAGCGAAAAGTTCATTGTTATAGAAAGATAATTTATAATTTTTATAATATGAAAGTTATCAGAAGTAACTGATCGTGATGATCACTGACAGTACAAAGACATCATTAACTTCAGTTGAAACTTTAATATTTCACCTCATCCTGTCATCAGTCGTGCAGGCCTTTGAGTTTTACTGTTTCTGTAAAGTTTATTCAGACTGTTGATCACAGGGACAGTTTGTGGACCTTGATGATGACGCCATACGAAAAATCACCACCAACACATGTAAATAGCGTGTATTTTGCTATTTGGAAATCGTAACAGAAACCCACTTGTAGCTTATCTTCGTTGAGGTCAGGCGTTTCAACCCCCAGCCAGCAGTTAGTATAGCCTAGGCTATCCTCTGGGCCCGTGATTTCTTTCCAAACTGTTTTACCATACTTCGTTAGCACCGCGCTTGAAATTCCACCTAGTGTCGCGTGAAAGGTAGAATTTCCTAGTCCTATCACTAAGACATCCCTTGGTTTCCTGTTTGTGGCATAGTGAATTCTTCATTGTAAGTTGCTTGGAACGTCATCCCTATAAGCGGTTGATACCATAGCTGCAGATCCTTCAGAGCTTCATCGACGGCCACGTTTTCTCTTTCAAAAATCGGGCTATGACGAAACGTCTCAACTCCTCAGACGTTCAGAGAGAAAGAGGAAGTTGGAGCAATAAAAGATTTTCATTGTACTGCATGTTGGTCATGTGACCAGTTAACAGTAGTTATGATAGGCTCAGATAGTTATTATCTCGGCTACGCAGTAGTACGTCATTTTCACAATGGACTCCACGTTTTACTTATGTTTAAAATTAGAATAAACAACATATCAGATTATATTGATGTACGTTCAGCTCAATTCTTAATCATCATCGACCAGGATTGTCTTAGTAAGACCCTCACGCTTTGCTTCTGAATTTTTCAAGGTTATCATTAGAGTTGATACATTTATTTATCTGTGCAACCTAAGACGCACACTGCGCCCCATATTGGACCTAAGAAAGGATTCTTGAAACGGGGGAGGGTGTTCATATTGAATCTGTGTCGCTTCATATCCTAGGTACATTGTTTCAGGGCGAGTTCGCGTCAAGGTATTTAGGATCGTATTTAATAACCACTAAATGTTCTGTTCAGAAAACTAGCATAGTAAAGTTGAGCTGGTCAAAATGCGCTTTTCTTCGCAGGGCTATGACCTTGCGAACGACTCTTCCCGCGAATACATTGGGTTTGATTGTGTCTTGTTTCATTGCTTTCCTCAAACATGCGTTTGCTGATCGATGTGTCCTCAAATTAAGCGGAAAAACTTCAAACCAAGTGACTGTACGTACATCAATCGACCTCTTCACACATCGTAATCTCAGCGGTTTAAAATAATGCTGCTAAGTTTTTACACCCCTACAGAAAATTCTCTCGATCGAACTTTGACAGTGTTTACTGATCAATTTCCTAACCAGTGATATGTAATCCTTGATTTGTGCCCCGAACTAAATCTCATGAACTAATCAGTTCAAAAATGTTAGATAGTAATGTCATTTGCTGCCTACTGGGAGTCGAATCTCTGTATTTCGTGGTCGCAAATGCGATTGATACTCGACGACAAAATAACCGTTGTGGTCACGCGCCCGCGCTCTTCACAGTTGGTCGAATGTCCAGAATAGTCTACAGATTCTTGGAATCAAAGGGAACTTCGAAGCTTCATAGCTTTATTAACAGCTAAAACTGCCCTAATTCTCAATGATCAATTGCATGGAGACGCTTTCTTGTAGCCAGTGACACTAACGATATTATAGGAAGCAAATTATATCAAGATAAGCTAAGACAGAGAGGATTCAAACTTTTAAAACTTTGCAGAACTCGTGCGTAGCTTAATTAAGCAGGCTCTATCAGTCGTTTCATCCATTTAGCCGTTTCAGTTTGTTATACAGAGGCTCTTTAATGTTTAGGCATCAGCTATCCCGCTTTCTATCGCTAAGAAACGGACATTCAGTGACAAGATCCACTGGACTTGATCACTGGTGGAAGACAGTATATCACAAATGCTCTTGGCGGAGAATGACAGTTAACTTGCAAATGATCGAGCGCGCAACTAAAAGAGAAACCCGGCCGGAATTACACGAAAGTCATGAAACACGCATCTTTACCGTCTGTTTCATTGTCTGATGCACTACGAAAAACAAGATTTCTCTTGTTTTCTACAACTAACGAAATCGAAAATTACTACAGTCAATTAAGGTAAAAATAAATCTAAATGCAAGTGATTTTACTGAAATGAAAGGAAGCTTATTAGAACGGATACAATTGTGTTTGATAGCTGAGAAAGGTACAACATGTTACGCATCTTTACTTAGCAGATCAAAATCACGCAGTTAAATTGTAAATGATTCGAACCTACATTAAGAGTAGAAGTCCGCACGCCAGTCAAAGTCCATAGAATCTTTTCACGGGACAGACCAGTGTTCGAGATTAGAGAGTTTCAGTTCCCGCGCGGCCATACACCAACATCGAAGTCGAAGTTTGAAGTCTTCTTCCATATTGCTTGCTGTCCTGTATCGCGTGCAATGAGGTAGCGATGGAGGCAAAACACTTGTAGAAACAGTTGTTGAATTGCCGTTTGCGAACATCTACTGGAGAGCCAGTCTCACAATCAAAACGGAAGCCTACCCTACTGACAGATCCAGACTAACTGTTTTGGATCTCGACAGATCCACTATGGCTATACATCAGACTTGATTTAGATCATAACTAGTAGGTGTATGTCTCAAAAAATCAACTCTTATTACATGGCTGATCAATACTACAAAATTAAAAGTTGCCTGAAGGAACTTGAAATGGCTTCAAGCGATCAAAAACAAACTAGGCTAAATGTACCATCGACTAAAAGTCAGTCATAACTGTAAATAAATTGTGTCCACATTCAAGTTCATTGTCAGTTTCAGTTGTCTTGTAACTTCTCTACCAAAACGTAAATCAGACAGGCTGGATGACAGAAGCCTTTATGCTGACGCCATGCGAGAAAACATCACCACCGCATGGAAATGGCGTGCATTGTGTTATTTGGAAATTGTAACGGCGCCCCATTTCTAGCTGTCCACCGGAGACAGGCTCAACCCACAGCCAGTAATCAGAAAATTTGGGGTTTTGCTCTGGGCCGGTAATTCCTTTCCAAACCTGTTGATCGTAAGTTTGCAGCACGGCGTTTGAAATTCCGCCCAGAATCACAGCCAAAGGGTCTCCTGGTCCAACCGATAACACATCTCTTGGATTGCCCGTTTGGGGCATAGTAAGTTCTCCTTCGTATGTTCCTTGGAACTCGTTACCCACAAGCGGTTGATACTTTTGTTGCAGATCGTTCATGATCAAGACGGGATCGACCATATTTTTTTGTTCAAAGCCTGTAACAAACTGAATTCGACGTCTTAACACTTCAGAAGATGAGAGTGAAAGAGGAAGTTAGAACAATTGACATACTCCGTACTAAAAACTTAAGTCATGTGACGAGCAAACAACAACTTTGATTGGTTTAGATAATAATTACCTCAGCTAGGCAGTAGTGCGTCACTTTCACAATGGACTCCACCTCTTACTTAATATAGTAATCAATGAGAATAAACAGTTGTAAGGGATTAATTAGGATGCAGACCGCAATTCCTAAATTTTTCGAGCAGAAAAGTCTAACCCAAAAACCCCACCAGCTGCTTTCAAACTTTTGAAACTAGTTCGCTAGAGCCTTTTATCCTTGATACGTTGTTTCATAGTGCATCAAGGGATTTCTATCATATTGAATACTCACTAACCCCGTCGTTTTAAAACGACGTTTTCGTTGAACTGACCAATGCCCTTGGAACTTGGCGTTCACAATGGGGTCGATTGTGCCTTGCCTCATTGCGTTCCTCAAAAATGTGTCTGATGTCTCAAAGAGAAAACATTAAAATGTTCTCTCCGATAAAGCTGACAACGCTTGTATGGTCTGTATAGTCTAAGCAACTCGATCATTTCCTTAGCTCACGAGGGCTTTTTAACTGGACTGATAGCGAAGGCATCATATCGCATCATAAGACTGCATGGCCACTTGGCCTAAATCAGAGAGTGCTGAATGTTGATCGAGGCGACACCAGGTTTCTCCTCATGTGTATTACTGTAGATATTTGTAGGTGTTTTATCGTAATTTCAACGGTATAAGATTATGGCTCGCATTACGAGTCGAGGGAGGCAAATCTTTATATCCTACAGGCAATTCTCTTGATCGAACTTTACTAACTTTCAAAGTATTTCCTGATCATCGATTTCCTAACCAGTCCGATATGGAATCCATAACTTGTATCCCGCACGAAATCTCATCAGTCGTTCAGTTCAAATGCATTTGATAGTAATGTCATTTGCTGCCTATTGGAAGTTGGATCTCTGTATTTGGTGGCTGCAAATGCGATCGATAATCGACGACAAAATATAACCGTTGTGGCCGCGCCGGCTGCGCTCTACACAAGCTTGCACGGTTCATCGAATTTCCAGAATACTCTACAGATTCTAAGAATCAGGAGACAGCTTAATAGGTTTAGCACCACGTATAGTTCCAGTTGAACCTGGGCTAATTCTCAATAATCAATGCTGGATGTTTTTCTTGTAGCCAATGACATTAACGATATTATAGGAAGCAAATTATTTCAAGACAAGCCAAGACAGAGAATTCAAACTTTTTGTGTAGCCGTTTTAGTTTGTTATAGGGAGGCTCTTTAATCTTTAGGGATCAGCTATCCCTCTCTTTGTCGCTGAGGAACGGATATTACGAGAGTCACTGCCTTGAAATCATGACAGACAGCTTCAGACAAATGCTTGCGACGGAGAAAGACAACTTGTAAATAGTCGAGCGAGCAACTGAACGAGAAACCGGTACTATAAGAACTTCATGAAACACACAACTTTACCCGCGGCGTCAGCTTCTATTTGTACAGCTATCGAGATTGAAAATACTATAGTCAAAGAAAAAAATTGAAAAGCAAGTAATTTTACTGAGTTGAAATTAAAGCAAGCTTTAAATAGAACAGAGATAAATGTGGTTGATAGCTGAGAAAGCTTTGAGACATCAGTTATCTTTACTTTAGATCCCACCAAATTCACGTAGTGGTCAAATTGTAATTAAAAAATTCGAACCTGCATAAAAGTAGAAGTTCATTTGCCTGTCAACAAACCAGTACTGGAGATCAAAGCCGACTTTCAGTTCACGAGGCCATTCACCAACATCCAAGTCAGTTGCTCTTCCGATATCAGTGGGCGTTTATGAAGTTCTCTGTCTTCTTCCATTTCATCTGCTTGCATTGCTGTCTTGTTTTATATCGCGTGCAACGAAGTAATCGATCTAAGGAAAACTCTCGTAGAATTGAAAGTTTTTCAATTTCTGATTGCGCCCGTCTACGGAGTGCTAGCGTCGCTATTCCTCTCTACGAGAAATCTAGACTGACTGTTTTTATGGTCTCTTGATCTCGACAGAAACTAAGACTTTGCAGCAGATTTGAATTAGATCATAGCTAATGAGTACATTTCTCTACAAATTAACTCTAGTGAGGTTACCGATCAATACTAGAGAATTAAAAGTTACCTTTTGCTAGCAAGCGTGATTAATCTCCACACTACAGAAATATACCTAACTGCATGGACTATCGACTATAAGTCAGTCATAACTGGCGGTAAATAAATTGTTTTTGTCAGTGTTGTAACTCCCCTACCGAAAGTTAAATCAGGCAGGCGGGATGGCAGAAACCTTGATACTGACGCCATACGAGAACTCAATGCCATTTCCCAGGAATGGAGTGCACTGATCAACTCTGAAATTGTGAGCGGACTGCTCCGCTATCACTCCACTCATGTTAGGCTCAACCCACAGCAAGTATTCAGTATTGTCGAGGCTATGCTCTCGGCGGGTGATTCCTTTCCAAACACTTTCGCCGAAAGTCTGCTGCACGGCGTGTGAAATTTCGCTTACTGTCGCGACAAACGGGTTTCCTTGTTTTATCACCAAGATATCCCTTTGATTTCCTGTTTGTGGCATGGTGATTTCGCCTTGGTAAGTTGCTTGGAACTTCATTCCCACAAGCGGTTGATATTTTTGTTGCAGATCGGTCATGATGTCGATCGGTGTGGGACCGGCGGCCATATTTTTTTGGCTCGAAAGCTGTCACAGAACTGACTTCTTCTAACACTTCAGGAGTTGAGAGTGAAAGAAGAAGTTGGAAAAATATGTAAAAGTCATGTGATCAGCTAACAACAATTTTGATTGGCTCATATAATAATTACCTCAGTTGGGCACTAGTACTTTACCGTCACAATGAACCCCACCTTTTTAAGGTGGCTGAACACAGTTTTTGATACCTGTGTTTCATTCACCTTTTTCTCTAAAACCCTTGATCTATCGGTCGCCAAAAATGGCAGCAAGCAAGTTAACAACACAAACTTTGGTTTTTTGATGGTTAAGCTGACGTATGTGCCGTTGCCATGGCAACACGAATGAAAATAAACAGGCCGTTAAAATCGGTTTTGTTTATTTGTAGAAAATCTACTCATTAGATTTCTTTATAATTCGCATGCAACAAGCTTGTGACGATTCTCACAAGTTAACACCATTTTGCTAATAATTTAACAGAGAGATCTTTAA